AATTGGGGGTATAGCCCAAACTCCAAATAGAATTCCGATAACGAGGCGCCAGCCGCTAGCCTACGCACTCCAAGTCCAAGCCTAAGCCTAAAGCCTGCTTCAAGGCCCAAATCCCAAAGATTTGGGGATCAACAGTACCTACCACCAACCTGTTTTTGCCCTATTAGAGATTGAAAATTTCTTAGTTTTTCAAAATAAAAACTGAGGAACCTTAATTGAAATTCACTGGAAATTTTGGTTTTTTAATTTTAATTTTATCTCACCATTTTTGTTTGGAAGAATTCAGCTTTGGCTTAGAAAGGCCAAAAGAGTATAAAAATAAACGATTCAATTATGCCTAAAAATGGAATGGGAGTGCAATTTGAGATACACATTTCACACCGACACACGCTTACGTATGGACTCGGGAGGGGAATGTGTTCGGGTGAAAGATATATAGAGATCTGGGCTGAAAAACGGACCAATGGCTTCCTTCTTTCGTATTCAAAAGTAAAGCTATTTTTTTAAAAAAAAACACAGTTTACGGGCAATACCTAGTAAATTCGGTTTAGATTTCCTACAGAAAATAGAAATTTAAACTCTTGCCGCCGTATACAAGCCTGCTTCTACTCCCCCTTTCCACCACATCGTCCAACTCCTCTCCGTTCCTTTAAAACTGCCCTTTCTCTCAATTCATAAATAATTTTCTTCCATCGATTCCCCCAAATTCTCCACTTGTTTCCCTGTGCTCAATTATCGGATCATCAAGCTCTGTTTCCCAACCATTACCACAAGAATTTTTTTGTCAAGATTTAATAACTAAACCCAAAACTTAATTTCCTATCCTTTCTTGTTCATTCACTTCAAATTTTGTGTTTTTGGGGTTCTTCTTTGGGGTGAAGAGTTGAAGGGAAACTGATGTTGGTTGCCTGGCGTCACTTCGTTGAAAAATTCACGCAGCTGCAAAGTTTGAATGGTGAAAAATGGAAAGAGATTGTTTTAAACAAATTTTAGTTCTTCATTTACTTATTTTAAACCACCATTTTATTGTATTTGCCCAGGGCTTAACTAAATCAAAGGTAAATCAAGGCAAATTTCCGTGCCAAACCTTTTCGAACACGAGGTATCAGCTTTAAAGTGTATCCTCACTACAGCAATCAAATATTTAGCTTCAATCTTCACATTGTTATAGTGCGGCAAATCGGCAAAATTGGGTGGGTGGGGGATTGCCTGAAATGAAGGTTATCGTAACGCATTACAGTAGTACGGAATTCAGGAGATTACGGTAGTTAGAGGATGCTTTAGATTCTAGAGCGGCTACCTCCCAAGCCGCCGGTGTTCGAGAAAAGCCTCGCACATTGAATTTAGAGGAGACTTTTCATAAGTATGAGCTCACCCAGATGGGACTTACAGTTTTGATAGTAACAAGTTTCTACACAAAGAGACAAAGGGGTTCATAGTCACCGGGAAGTTGATCCTCGGCTTGTATATCACTCAGCCAGCGCTTCAAGGGAAAGCAATGGATAGAGTTGGCAGATTGTAGTACATTTCTTTTGATAAGTGAACCTTTCTTCAAAAAACATCTCCATCTTTTGTTTCTCTCAACCTTGTGCTTAAAATAATAGTAGGAAGAGAGTTCATCAATTTCCCTTTCGTTTGTTCATTGGGTGTCCACTGGGGAACAATCATTCTCTTCCAGTGACAACAAAAGAACAAATCTTAATCATTGTTTTTCCGCTTGGAAAGCCTTGACATTTATTGATTTGGATTCGGGAAAAATAAAGACATTTTGGGTACATTTCTAGATCTTTCTATCACTTAACGCGAATTTGGCCTATTCACAGCAATCCAGGAATGTAATCCTGGTAAGATTTTACTGAACAAATGACAATAAAACTCATTTACATTCATGATATTGAGTATTCACTTCTGAAGAGAATACGGATAGCATAGGGTGGAACGGGTCCAAGAATACGGTGGTTTTCCCTTGTTCAGCCTCCTTTCCAGCTCAACCGGTTTCAATCCTGGCCCCCCGGTCTATGCGGGTGGAGGATCGATCCAGCGTGTATGCAAATCAAGGATAATGGTGGTGGAATCCTCCACAGGGATATCCACAACAAGGATACTATCAACAACCACAACCACAAGCTGTGTAAGGAGGTAAAGCATTGGGAAACTCTTCAGTGGAGAGTTTTAGAATGGTCGGACGACGGTGAATAACCTGAGCAGCTCAAAATTGTTGTTGTATGGCTTGTTAGGTGAGAGGAAATCGAAAGTGAAGGGCTTTCTAATCATAAACAATACACTGTCCGGCACCACTCCAGTTCCTTATTAATAATGATAACTGAATCAGGACAGCAAGAAAAATGCGAAGCGATTGAGTAAGCGAGAAGGGAAGCGTTTCGATCTTGAAAATGTACCTGTAATCTAGTCATATCATTTATTTAGCTCGCACCCTAGTTAAACAAGTCGTAAGTCAACAAGATTTAAATTCTTGTAAGCCTGGAGCTGTGGGTTGTTGTTTAGCGGAAATGTGCGATGGCTGATCAAAAAAGATGATGATCAAAAAAGATAAACCTTTGTTTTTCAATTTCAAATGTACACAATTGTGATTTTTCAATTTTCTCTGTTCACCACACGGGAATTCACCTCCATTAATAGGCACTTCTACTTTTTCTTTCTTTGTATTATTTATCAATGGTTTTGAAATATTTCCATGAACTTTCCACTTCCCAGTTTCTCTAGTTCTCCACTCTGTAAGATCCAAAAGATGTATAAAATTTTTATCAAGATAACTATAAAGAAATAAAACATTTGCGTGAGATAACAAATATTTGCTTGACAAACAAACGGTAAACAATTGGGCAATATTTGAGATTTGGGCAATACAAATTAACGAGGAATCCCATATCAAAATCACTGAAGCCTGGCAAGAGGAGGAAAAAAAAGACATTAAATCTAAAAAGTTCTCAAGCGCAAACCCGAAACTTAGTGAAACGAATATCTGGGTGCTATAAGGGGATTTCTGTGGATTCCGCAAATTTATACATAACACACAATAACGAAAGTTAACAACGGGATATGGATAGGGGTCAAAGCTTTACATACGTACACGATTAGACCAACTTTTAACAACATAGACTAAATTTTATAAAACTTATATACAAAAGCTGCAGAGAATGAGCGCAGGTTATACAGCAAAACGCAATCGGAATTTAATGGCAAAAACCCATTAAAACATCAAAAAATTTAATGGTAAAATAAAATGATAGAAAACCTAATGAAAAAGATTCCTAAAAATCAACTAAAACTTGAACAAAGCAAAGCCGCTCTTGTAGCATAAAAAAACCTTAACTTCTGCTTCTTTAAAACGCCATGTGATGGTGAACATGTGATGCTTTGGTGGAGGTGCGTCGAAAACCATCATATAGCTTCTTGATTTTCTCCCGGAAAATATTCTCTCGGAGCTTGGCCACAACAAGAAGTATTGAAATTGATGCGAGGAAAAACTAACCAATAAGCTGTATTCCTCCATAATTGACTTCCCAATACTAGGCATGTGCGGCTTGATGGAGTTCAACCACTTTCTTTCTTAAAAAGAAAGCTTTTAAATAAAAAAATTGAACGTACTATACCTGTGAACATTGTCAGCTACTTCCAGCATTTTTTGCACAACGTAGTTGGCAAACTGATCTTTCATCATGACCATCAAAGGTGGATTTGCGCTAAAACTTAAAGATAATCCAAACACAAAAGAAAACACTTACTCATTGGGATCACTCATGCACACTTCCGAAATGAGGCGATTCTTGTGTCTGTGTGTTTGCAAATTGAAGTATCCGTTCGATAACATTTGATGAGAACTTGTGCTGTGATAAGGTGAAAACTTTTCCAACAATCCTTAAGTACTTTTTATAGTTGCAGAACACACAAAACATACCGAAGATATAATGATCTCTCGATCGTCATCGGTGCCGTATTCGACAAGGTGCCGTATTACATAGTTGCGCATATTGATCGTTCATCTGAAAAATAAGAGGTACACATGTGGCTAGGTTGTATATTACTACCAAAATTCCAATGTCGCGATAGATTGTCTTAATAATTGGCATCTTTTGTTCTGGTGAGCAATGTTCCAAAAAACCCGTTGAATAACTCGACAACCATACCTGTAAATAGAAAAAATTAAGAAATCAAACATCTTTGACATACATGTGCTTTGCCAATTCTATCACTCGGTTCTCTCGCTCATTTATAATAGCATTGACAATGAATTGAGCTTTTGGCCGGTTTCACACATTCAATAATCTTTTGCATAACATGATTTCCATTTTGATCTTGAATGCACCGAAGAACCTAGAAAGCAAGCATATAAACAAATCAATATCCATTTAAACAATAAAACTAATTGATTTAGAAAACGAACATGTTCGATGATTTCACCAATAATCTCCATTTGCAGATTTTCCTTGCAAGGTCTCGATCGCTTTTTGAATCACTCGACATCCATACATTTGAAGAGAGAGGCTTAGCTACATTACCCTTCAATATACGACAAAGACCGATTCGTTGTTCATCGTTAGTCTTTTCAAAGAACTTCTAAAACAAAAATGATGTATTGTAGTTAGAAATAAAACATACCTGCACGACGTAGTTACCAAAAACATCTGTCATCAACATTGTTCCGTCTTTTTGAATGGCTTCGTAAACAATGAGCATTTCCGAAGGGCTAGCTGACTCAAGCTTTTTGCTGGATAAATCTAAAAACCACGTTTTAACCACACAATAAGCAAAATACCACCTTGAGCCATGTTGATCCTTTTGCAAACTCGATGACATAAGCTGCAACATCACGAAGCGACAAAGCTGGATTACGATTGCTCTTGATTTCTTCAAGAATCAAATTCTGTTTTAAGTGGTGGTGAAATCAGAGCCCCCAAGCAAATTTCGTGGCTGCTGACGAGTTCTAAATTTACCAAATAAATTACTGAGAAACGTTAACATACGTTCTGTTCGGACTAGACATCGAATTGAGAAGAAGCGGATTCGGTGCTGCTTGTGATATTGCTGGTGATAATCCAGTTTGCAGTGAAAGCAGATTTGAATTGCCATTCAGTTGACTCATTTGCTGTTGAATATAAAGTTGCGTTTGCATTTGATTTGCTAAAGCAACGATCGTAAAATGTTATTTTTATAAAAGGCTTTAAAAAATCCGAGGACTTACTTAGCTGTAGTGTTGTTGCCAGCAATTGTTGTTGCTGCTGTGGATGAAGCATAGGATTCATGCTCATCAATTGTTGAGTGGCTAGCATCACTAAAATTAGCCATTACAAATAAAGTTAGCAAAACCCACTTTTGCAATGGATTTGCCATCATATTTGGAAATTGTATTTGCGGTTGTTGAGCCTGCATCAACATAGTTTTTGATAAAGCCTAAACAAGCAACACTTTACGCAGGAAAAAAATTAACTTACAGCTCCATTAGGCATTACATTGTTCGTCAAAAGTGATTGCATAGGTGGCGGTGATGGCGGATAAATCGTTGGCGATGAGATATCTATATAATACTTGCATGAATTTAAGCACAAACAAGCAAACCGGGAGCTATCTGAAGAACCGGCGAGAGCTGTGATTGAATTTGCTGTGGCTGTTGTACTCCTTGAGTAGTTTGAGCAAGCATTGAATTCCATTGTGGAGGAGCCATCCCAGCTTCAGCCATTGTATTTAAGAAAGGCTAAACAAAATTTATAAATTATAATAAAGCAAACTTCAAATACCTGAAACTCTGGGGTTCCTGATGAGAGTAGCATTTGTGGTTGCGGTTCGGCCCGTTGAGCAATCACCCTTTTCATCGGGAAGCTAAACATTCACTAGTACATTCGGAAAGTTCAACATTCAACATTCAACATTTCAATTTCTACGTTGTAGCAGAATGTTTAGCACAAAATTTCTTATTGGACTTTCTGCTTTACTCGGTAAACTTGTTCTATTTAATTAAGTAAGCAATTATTGCTACAAAGCCACTTACCAATTATCAGCAATCCTGAAAGCTTCGGGGCCTTTGGAGTTGCCGGTGATCCACTCAGAATAGTCTCGGCCACTTGACGACACAACGAACCACCTCCATACGATTCACTCCTTGGTGATGCGAAATTACCCGGGCTCATGCCACCATTTGGAATTGGAATCGGCACAGCATCTAAAAAAAGCAATTGTCCGTAAAAAAATCTGTAAATCACAAACCATTATTGCTCATATTCCATCCAGAAGTCCAGTGTTCGTTCATCATGAAAAAAAGCTTTGTACAAAGACGTTCAAAGAATTATTTCCACTTTACAATGGGGAAGCGAACCCCTAAAATAATAAAAGGTAAATAAGTTATTGCACTTAAACATAAAGAAAAAATAAAAGTTAACAACAATATTATTTGACAGGATCAAACTGGAGACTTTTGCGGCTTTTCCAAAAAGAAAAATTTAGGAATTTCTAAATTTTCAGACTCTAAGTCTTTGGGGTACGGTAGTAAAGTGGAAGGAGCGCGCTATAAGGATTTGGCGCTCATGTGATTGCTTGTTCTCTGGTGCAATTCGGATCAACTCTAATCATTTGGACTTTTTCTCTGGAGATTAAATGTGAGTTTTCGATGGGAAAGATAAATTGCAAATAAATATTGTAATACGCATCTGTGTTACATCTAATAGTGAGAGAAATTTAACTAATCAACTGATGAAACTGAAGAAAGAAAAACATACAAACATCAAAAAAAGTTTTGATACCTTTAAAAAAGCAAATTGAGTATCCAAAAATATTGAATTCAGCTCGTTTTTTGTTTCCATTAGATAAAACAAAGTTAGAAACTTATAATTAACATCAAATATACTCTTTTAAAAAAACTATTTATGTACAAAAAAAATAAAAAACTGCAAAAAACAAAGCAAAAAAAGTCTTGATACCTTTTTCTCTTTTTTTTTTCTCCTGTTTTTGTTAAGTTAGTACCAGAGCTCAAGTACTTAAAAAGATATTAATACAAAAGATATGGGACGTTTGGGGACTAATCATATACTGGGATCCAATGTCTTGGAATCAAAATTTCTATGTAAAGCACAAATGATCAGTAAAACCCACCCCACCGCGTACTTCTTTTCCATCAAGGTTTCATAATTCCATCTTTTTACATACAGTGATCAAAAAAAGTCTACCTTTCATACCTTTAAAAAGCAAATTGAGTATCCAAAAATATTGAATTCAGCTCGTTTTTGTTTCATTAGATAAAACAAAGTTAGAAACTTATAATTAACATCAAATATACTCTTTACAAAAACTATTATATTTACGAGAAATAAAAAAAATGCAAAAAACAAAGCAAAAAAAGTCTTGATACCTTTTCAAAAGTTATTTATTTCTAACAAAATTCAGTATCGTGTTGCGCCTCCTTTAGCTTTTATAATCTCCTGAAGTCAGTTTGGCATACTTGCGATCAACTTTTCCGTGGTTCGTTGTGAGATTGAGCTCCAAATAGACTGAACCTTGTCCCAAAGCTCATTTTTTGACACAAAGCGGAATCCTCGTAATTTTCGTATGACATGCACCCATTAATGTGCAATAGGGTTACAATCCGGCGAATAGGGTGGTGTTCGCAGCAAATTAACATTGTTGAGCCGAAACCAGCCGGGGCAAAAACCTCACGAAAACTCCGGGTCGGATCTTCAGTTTTCGTCCCAACATCAATTCACTTGTATGTTTTGGATCCCCATCCTGCTGGTACAGCCATTTTGGACTCATTGCTACATTTGCGTAAGGAAGCATATCATTTTGCATCATATCTCGATATTTCACACTGTCCATGATTCCATCTATGGACACCAGAGGTCCGACTGAGTTTGAAGAAAAACAGCCCCAACAACAGTATCCCTCCTCCATTGAATTTGACAATCTGTCGAATGTATTTCAAGTTGTATCGTGTTCCAGTGGATCTCTTAATGGTGTAGTTGCCATTACTGTTGAACAAATTGAACTTAGTTTCATCATTCCACAAGACACGTTTCCAGTCATCGATCGACCAATGTTGGTAGGTGCGGGCGAATTCCAAACGAAGCCTCTTGTGTCTAAAAAACATCATAGGTTTACGAGCAGGTCGTCGTGAAAACAACCCGAGAAATTTTAGTCGATTTCGAATCGTTTGCAAAGTTACATGAATCCCAAATTCCCTTTTTAAGTAACTATTCCCGTCTGTGGCTGTAAAACCCGGAATTGAGGCGAAGAAATGATGAAGTGCCCGGTCTTGTCGAGATCTTGTTTTTGGTTGTTGGCCTTTTTTCTTTGATCGGTGCACATTTCCATGCCCTTTCATCCGATTGCAGAGTCATCATCAAAACATCTTCAAAACGGAGAAGAGGTTTTGAATCACACTGACTTTGAGTTCAACTTTTCGAGCTTCAACTATTCGCTCCTTTGTGGGACTGTCGATGTATTGCTTGCACGGCATCACTAAAAAGAAACCATATCAGAAAAATCAACAAAGCTCTAACTTAACAAAAACAGGAGAAAAAAAGAGAAAAGGTATCAAGACTTTTTTTTTGCTTTGTTTTTTTGCAGTTTTTTATTTTTTGTACATAAATAGTTTTTATAAAGAGTATATTTGATGTTAATTATAAGTTTCTAACTTTGTTTTATCTAATGAAACAAAAACGTGCTGAATCCAATATTTTTTGGATACTCAATTTTCTTTTTTTTAAAGGGATGAAAGGTAGACTTTTTTGATCACTGTATATAAAAAGGGTGACCTTGATGGAAAAGAAGTACGCGGTGGGGTGGATTTTACTGATCATTTGTGCTTTACATAGAAATTTTGATTCCAAGACATTGGACCCCAGTATATGATTAGTCCCCAAACGTCTCATATCTTTTGTATTAATATCTTTTTAAGTACTTGAGCTCTGGCTTATGTTGGTGTCATTTGAATTGGTTGCTCCAGAAAAAGTTTAATTGTGAAAACATTGTATCTCTTCTATTTGCCGATTTCCTTTGCACTAGAACTTTTAGCATTTCTGTGTTTAAAATGTAGAAAGAAAATTTCATCAAATAATTGATAACTCGAATACAATCCTAGACACTCTTTTCTTTTTTTTTCTTTATCCAAATATACTTCCAGTTTTTAATAAGGCAATTTCGGTTGGTATGGCTTCCGTGGCCTGTTGCAGCAGCAAAATCTGAAAAGTGGATTGAGTTTGAAGAGTAATTCACGGAAAAACACGAAAATCTCATGAGTTCAAGTCCATAGCTAACGAATGGTATCCTCATTTCTTTTGCAACCTCACCTACAACAGCAACAACAGCATGCAATGAGAACGATAATCACGAAAATCCACAAGATGAGATAGGGGCCTGGCTGAAGATTGATTTGAACAATAATCATCACCCAATCAACATCCATTTACCTGTAAATGCAAGCAGCAATCCCCATGACAACACGTCCAATAGACAAAAAGTGTTGATGCACCTGAAATTGACAATTTTATGATCTCTATTGATTTTGAGTTTATCAAAGCCCTCTTGTTCTGAGAACTGGCATTTCTGAAAGAGTCTTTGTTGAGCACTCATGATCCTTATCACCAAAAGAAAGAATTTTGTTTAGAAAAAAATTGGTGTCAATTGAATGAAATAAACTTGAAAGACTGACAAAAATAAGATAAAAATTGTTTGTGAAGAAAGTTTAGTTAAACAAAAAGTAATGGGGAAAACAATAGCCATGATTTTAAAATCTAAATCAAGTTTTACTTGAGTTGCCAATTTGATTCAATAGTTTTGAAATCGTTAACTCACAACTCTTTTCTTTTCCTTCACATCCTTCCAATCGTGAATCTCTTTGTGTGAATGAAAAAGCATTTGACGGACAATTAAGACAAAACTTATAAATAGATATTTAAAAGTTGGGGAAAATATTCTTCTTTCAAGTATCGTTGTCGTTTTTCTTCTGAAGGATTTCCTTTCTTCGTTCAAATTTCGTTCATATTGATTCGAAATCTAAATTTTCTTGTGAAACTGTGAAATGTTTTCTCGGTACATGTGACTCTGGCGCAATTTTATTTGAACGAATCTGCATTTAACTGCAAACAGTGAACAGTTAATTCTTCTTTCAAGTCACATTCATTATGTTAATATTCTGTGTTTAAACACAGAATATTAACATAATGAATGTGATTTGAATGATAAATCTTCTAAATAGTCAATTATTGACGTCTAAAAAACATTCCAGACTAAAAAACATTCATTCGTGAAATGAGTAAGCAGCAAATGGAAAAGATCTTGTCTTTTGCAGAGCTGGCAGTGTGCAATGAATATATATTGCATATATGCAATGAAATATCTTAGACGAATTGAGAAATCGATACGTAAATTTTCAGCCGTCGGCCAAAGTCATATCGGCCAGTCGTTTTCTCTTATCGAAAGTTTCGCTTTTTTTCTCTTATTTTACTAGTGGACCCGAATCACGAAATAGGACATTTTCAAAATCAGAGCTATACTATAAAATATCAAGCAAATTTGAGTTCTTATTTGTGAAATTATAAGGGATCTTAATGCTGTAATCATTGTGTGCAAAAGTTAATTGAATTTCAAAATTAAACGAAAACAGGCACTCCGTTTATCAGGAAAACAGCGGTAATTTATAAACTTTCGTGATAAATAAAAGAAAAGCTGTGAATTTTGAAGGCAATCTAAAGAATCCACGTGTTCACTTAACTATATTTTCTTTCTTTTATTCGGAATCATTTAGTGAATCACACCACGAAATGGGTGTTGACTTAAAAATCTGAAAACGATCGAATTCTTTCTCACTTGTAAAGATGACATT